CCATCAGTCAGCCACAGTTGTATAAATTTTACATTCTCTGAATGCAAAGAGATTCTCCAATCTCTAATTCTTGGAGAGATCCCAAACACAAAGGGCAGCCAAGCTGCCCCAAAAGCGAGCAATTAGACTTTTTTCTCAGCAGAAGATTCCTAATGTGCAGCAGATTCCTCCTAAATGCTCATAACCCTCCATTTCCTTTCAGCTCATGATGGAAAGTTCATCTTTCTGGGAAACAGGATACGCTTCTTGAAGTGCAATTATTCACTTAAGCAATTCTCTTTGGTAAACTTGGATGGCAAGTGCTCTCCAGTACTGTCAGGGAAATTAAGACAAGTCAGCTCTTCTTTTCTCAAGTCAGAGGGCTGACACACCAAGACAGGACTAAAAATTCCTACTCTCAGCTGTTCCTAAAGCATGTGAGTCTTTAAGTTTGCATGAGGTATGGCACCTGAACTGGCCTCGATGGGACCAATTCAGGTGTCTCTTCATCTATAGCTCCATTTTCTCGATAGCTGGAAAATTCCCCTATAGATTTTTATTTTCCAAATGCATCCAAACTCAGCAAAAGGCCAGATAACTCTAGATGCAGATTCATTATGTTCATGACTCCCTTGTACAAGGTGCAAATAAAGAGGACAAATTTGGTATCTAAAACTGAACTGAAGGCAAAAGTTCAGTGAAATCATATGAATACATTGCCAGTGGAGAACCAGACAGGTACTGATTTCAAAAGGGAAATTTCTATAATTTTTACATGGTTTGCCTCCTGTAGCTATACCACAACCTCAAGATTGCAAGCCACATGTCTGGGAGACCTGAGGAATTAAAGTTTAGGTGAAAGGTAAGCAACATGATGGTGGATATGTGCCTGGAAATATTAATCTGCTTTCACTAACAGAGAAATTCCAGTAACACAGGCTTAGAAGACTCAGCTTGAAGTTTAGCCAAAATGAAAATATTGCTCCATTAAAAAAAAAAAACAACCACAAAACCAAACCAAACCAAAACAAAACAAAACGAACAAACCCACACAAACACACACACACACACAAAAACCCCCCAAAAAACCAAACCCAAAACAGTTAGTGGCATTCCCACTGAGAACACATGAAGTATGTGTGCCCAGCTCTTGTTATAATAGCAATCTATCTACATTAAGTACCATTGCCATTAATACAGTGCACTGGAATAAATGGAATTCCTTTTGCTGAGCTCAGTCAGCCCTGGGTTGCATTCTCCGAGCTATCATTTTTGTGCTGGAGGCAATATATCAACCCAGCAATGATTTGTCATCATTACAAAGGGAGAAGATTGATCTGAGATGTACTGAAGTAAATCTCAATACTAGCCTCACTACTTTTAAATTCTAGGTCCAGATTTCCTCTACCGGGCAACCAAAATGTGCACAATTTCTTTTTTGGTTAAGCTTATCTTTTCATGCTACCACAAATTCTGATGAGAAATGGACTGTCACTCTACAATTACATTGTGCCTTATGGACATTTTGGGGGTTTTTTGACCCAATCTTCCAGCTGGTTTTTTTTAATAGCAAACATAGACTCTAGGAATTTCTGTTTTCTGTTTATTGAACAGTGATGCAGGCTAGATGAAGTGCACTTTTTCATCCAAGCCTTTTTTCCTCTCCAGTTCACCCACAGCACTAGCCAGCCATTCACAGTCCTGAACCAACATCCTGGATGGCTTCAGATCCTCAAGGATCTTTGTCAAATGGGTAAAAATCTATCAGGAAAGAAATTTGTGTGACTTCAATGACCACATGATCCTTCACGTAGGTGTCAAACTGCAGAACTGATGTTCTCGTTTTCCAGATAACTGTGTAAGCAAAGAGCCCATATGTACAAAGGTTTTATGGACAGCAACATCAAGATCAATTTACCTACCTGCAAAATATGCTCTTTGCCATGCTACTGTACTTGTGAAAACACAGGAATGTACAAACCAGGGGGTTAGAAATTACCTTAACAGTTCCTGTGACACGCTCTTATTGGATTTACATTCACCAGCAAATCCAAGAAAACAATTTGATAATTTTAGCACAAAGCAGACCAAGAAGGATTTGCTAAGCTGCTTAGAGCCTCGGCTCTGAAATGTTGCAAAGGTTCAGGTTAATGTACATTCCCAGCATAGGCACCATGGATGGACTGTATCTGACATGAACCAGGTTTTGACTCTCTGAAGCCATCTTTTGATCAAGAACGTATCTCATTCTGCATCAAAAATTAGCATGGGAAATATTTTATCAATTTGACAAAGGGAAGAATCAATATTGTTTCATTATGTCATTATTTTAAGCAGATTCTCATCACTATTAAGACACAGGTATGTAAGATCTTTAATAATGTGAACAGCATAACTATGTTACATGCATGAATTTAAACAAAGATGAATATAAACTGACTTGCCTTTAGCTATTATTCAAATCACTAAAGTGATGGATAAAATTCCTTAATGAAAATATTTCTTGGGCGTTTTTAAATCTAATGTATTTTATCAGATGTTTAAAAGCCTGTACTATTTTAACAATACAATTTGCATAGGAAATTGTCACATGAGTTTACTCAGGTTGTTGGATCTGCTACCATAAGGGGTTTGAATTGGGGAATCCAAATGTTCCCTTTAGTTCTATATTCCTAGAATGTGATTTTGCAAAGTGGTCACTGGGAAACAAAAAAGCCCACTGCAACAGTTATCTTAAGTTATGTTTGTTTCCATCTTGCTTTACTTTCTGAATGAAAACCTAATATAAATTTTAGCCCGTTGAATACGATAATAAATTATTTTGGATATACTGTGCCTCTCTGATCCTCACCAAGATTTTCCGTACACAGCAGGTAAAAATTTTATTCTTTTCTATGTTCTGTAGTCTCAACCATGATAATCCAATTAATAGATACTGACGTAGAAGAATTGTTCTTGTTAATCTTTATTTTGCATTTGTAGTTTCTTTATTTGCCTTCCTGAGGAGAAGGAAGGCAAATAAAGAATAAAGAATAAAGCTTTTAGCAGTTGCACCCATGCATTGCATTTCTCAGCATATGTATTCAGTCACATAGGTCTTGGTAGTAAATTACTGAATTTTATAAATACATTTAGACCAAAATAACTATCTGTTATAATCTGATACCAAAATGACAATATGTTTGTAATGTTTACTAGTAAATCCAATTTTTTTTTTTAACACCGAGAGTCTTTTAATTTATGTTACAACATACATTGATATCTAAAAGAGTTGATTCGTTGATATCAGAAGTCCTATTGTTTTCACTGGGGAAAAACAATAATTTAAGCCATACTAGACCTATATCTACACATAACAGCTGTGCTAAGTCTACCTGAACTCAGAAGACAAAACACATTCAACATCTTAAAACTGACTCCTTCACAGCCTAGGCAGATTATCAGACAGGAAAACAAAAACAAAAACAAACGCAAACAAACAAAACCCCAAAATAAAAACAAAATACAAAACTACCCAAAACCTCACAAACAAACAAAAACGTAAACAAAATCAAAACAAAACAAACCCCAAAACAAAACCAAAAACCTCAATCACACTTTGTTTAGGACAAAGAGTGTAGACCTTTCAGATATATTTTGTAGGTATCACAGCAGTCCTGCTATCATCACTTACTCAGACAAGCAGCATCACTAAGGTAGTTCGCAAAGCAGATAAGGTTGAAGATATACAGAAAACATGCACAAGGAAACACTGAAGATACACATTGAGAAATTATTAAAGTTAACTCCCATTTGCCATTCAAATCTGTGAGAAATTACAGTTTATTGTGACATTGTCATTATAGCAGCAATGATGCCCTGAAAGACTCAGTGTTCACTCCTGCATGACAAATCAATACCACAGGTCAACTATGATTAGCCTAGTCATGATGTGCTTGATGAATATTGATGACAGTTATACAGCTGTGATTTCAGATGCCTTTACGAGCAAATCATGAATATAAAAAATGCATTATCAACAGTAATCTATTAAATTTTGAACAGCAAAGCACAGAACATTAATGCTAAGCAGGCATTATTAGCTAAAAAAAAAAAAAAAATCAGTTGTTGCCCTACGTGGTCCTCTTCACGTATAGTTGTACACAATAGCTAGGAATTAGCTTCCCTAAAACTTTACCACTTCAGATTTAAAATAAAAACATCAAACCATTGAATCTATGTAGATTTGGAGGTAAAATTATCTGAGACTCCCCAATTATTATTGTGTAAGCAAGCTTAGTAGTAGTACTTCTACCTGCTTTTTAAACTGTGTGACACAACTGTGGGTTTTTGATCAAGACAACTCGCCAGAGGAGTGGTTGTCTTTAATTTGTCCTCTCTGTCACAAAGCATTGTGCCAAACAGGACAAATTAAAGACAACACCTCCGTGTGCCTATTAATGAGGCACACTGAGCAGAGCATCCTCACTCTCTCTCTCCCTCCCTCAAAAGCCTTCCCAGTCAAACATTAAACCTTAATAATTCTGCTTGGGTGAAAAAAAAAAAAAGGTGGTCTATCAACCATACCAAATTACACAGCAAGGAGGAACAGAACAACTGCTGGATTTATCCGAGCTTTACTTGAATATCTGTAGTATGTCAAGTGGCAAATCTCAGGTTCCTACTTCACTCTGGCAATTACCATATTAACAATTCTTTTTTAAATAAAGATTAAAAAAACCCCAACAACACCACAAAAATATGTATTTTAAATGGCTGAGCCAATATGATTTTATAGATATGGTGACATCCAATCCTATGGATGTGTAAATAAATTACTCTCCCAGTGTGAAAAAGTTGTCCTACCAATGAGACAACAGGAAGAATTCATAGAGGAATGCCGTAGGCTACAGTTTTGTTTGACCTTTAAGCAGTTAGAACTTCACTCTTCAGGTCAGGAAAAAATTAACTAAGAAACTTAAAGAAGAAAATTAGTTTGTTGTTTCTCAATTTCAAGTTATATTTTGACATTTCAGGATGAAAAAAGACATCGCTACTTCTGACTTCTTCTTGGTGTCCATGAAAAGCAGTGCCCGAGGCATCACATCAGCAGTGAATCCTTCTCCATGGCAGTGACAGAGAGGTCAGTTCTGATTTAAACCTGCTCTCTCCTAAAGGTATGCCTTCTTCTAGTAAAACATGCAAATAAAGTGGTAATTAGTGCTTTTACTACTGACGAATAATCCAATCTGGTCATGAGAGTAAATGATGTAGTTTAAAGCTAAAATATTTACAGCCATATTCCACCCATTTAAAGCTGGAATTTGGTAGACTTCATCCATCCAGAATCTTATTATATTCAGGTCTGGAACTGAAGCAGTTGTTTCTTTTACTTTGTAAAAGTGAGCTTCACCAAAAAATATTCTAACTCAAGTTAGAATAAAACACCCTCATCTTAGTACAGTACTACGGTGCAATTCAGAGAAAAAAAATTTCACACTTTCTGATTCCACAATGAACTAATATATTTTTTCTCTGTCTTTTTTTTCTTAAAATTTTAAACAAAGATAAGACCACTGTGGGAAATTACTGGATTACGTTAATAAAATCTGTCTCTCATATCCTTTCTGACTATCAGCAACCATTTTTGGAACTGTGTGTCAATCTGCTGTTCTTCAAGGATTTTATAGCTTTTCTTTGGATTTAAAATAACTTCAGATGAAATCAGAATAAATTATATTTCTCTTATAAATTTTCTTCATGTTTGAATACTGCCAACAGTGCAATTTGAATTAATCTATCCTAATTTCAAGGCTGGTTCTGATGACTTTTGACAGCTTCATACTCCAGATGCAGCTACAATAAAACTAACAGGAATATATTTAGGTTTTTACTTTATTTGGTTTACATAAAGCATAATTTGACCTTTAAATATTTACTAGTTTCAGCAGATAAGATAATTGCAATATAATTGTAAGGTGTACTAACCATGATGCTTTGTGGATTTTTTGTGCTGGGTTTTTTTGGGCAGTTTGTTTGTTTGTTTGTTTGTTTTTATATTTGAATTTGCTTCTTTAGGAAGTTGATATCACTACTTCAGAAACATGTTGTATTGCTCCATTTCAAATATCTTCTTTCAGAGATGGATTTTCTCACTCCCTCTAGAAATTACTTAGCATCCTATATATACATAAAAAATTACCCTTCTTAGCAGAACCCGCTAATAATGACCTTCATATTTTCCAACAGCACAAAAGTCATGCCACTGCACTCAGTAGAGCACAAATGTTACTTTTAAACGAAGTCCTGATAAAAATAAATCAGATATTGATTTATAAAAGCTTATAATAACAGTGTAGAACAATGAGACATTTAGATGGCAATATACACAGGAATGGTGGTTGAACTGCACATACCCTATTGCTGGAAGCAAATATCACAAGCTGCTCATGACAGATTTTTAATTAACATATATTACCTCCTCCAAATAGAGAGGATGGTGTAAATCAAAACACCTTCTCTGACTTAGAGGGAGCTCTGCCAATACGCTTCAGCTGAGGATCTGTCCCTCAGACCTGCATGCTGCAGTCTGGGTTTAATAAAAGTGTTTTGTGCCTTAGCACGCAGATCTAATCACACAGTCTGTCTAATTTGGCTCTACAGAGGCCTGGTTTCCTTAATCCACCATGGGTATACATAAATGGTTCCATTTATATACAAATGAACAATAATAATGTGTGGCCATACATGCACCTGAGATGAACAGACCTACCAATGCAGTACAGAGCCTTACATCCTAAAATATATTTATTTCACTGGAACAAAGTCAATACTCAGTGGGTGAGAACTCAGGCTTTCCATGTGGACAAAGAAGCTCCCATAAAGCAGCACAGGCTCACACTTGGGCAACTGTTTACATTTTCTTATGCACATCCCTGTCCCTTTCAGATGGTACATTCCCCTGGAAGAACATTTACTAGCTCTGTAAAACCAGCATCTCACACGCTAAATCCTCGAAGTCCCTGCATGAAGCAATTAATTATTAATAAACCCTGCAGACCAACCTACAGCATTCATCACATGGCTTACTATTTCTGCACCCTGCAAGTACAGTCAAGGATCATTTACAGGCAAAAGGTGGGATTTCCTCCTTCTCCATCATCAGAATTTGTTAAACCTCCATTCCATGTCTGACACAGAAACTCAGAGAAGTTTTTTGCCAGCCTATCAGGATAAACAGACTTGTTCTTTGAAAGCCCTTCAATCAGATGTACCAGGAAGTAAATAAAACAAAGAAAAAGGCCTTCTGGAAGTTATCGAACTCCCAAAGTTTCAGAGAATTTGGAGTCTTTAATACATGGTTTCTGTTTCAGGGAAAGTTTGAGAGTATTTGCTACAAGAAGATTCTGTATTAAGCTTTGCAGGTCCATCATGCTGTCCTATCATTCTCTGTAGCCTCATCTTCAGCAGAGCAAGAAGTGTGGTGTGTACTGTAAAGGTACTGCAGACTTAAAATATGACCAGGTCTAGACTATAGTTTTGCAAGTATAAAGTGTGATGGGCGTTTGCTGATGTCACAATGTCAGCAAAACTTCTCATGGCCATAAATACGTGAGGGAAAGGAATGGATTCATTTAACAAAGTATCAGGGATGTACTAAATGTAGCTTCATCCACTCATTAGCATTCTGCCAGCACAAGTATAGTTTCATTTGTGAAATGCATACAGCTTCTGTCATTTGCTAGTGTAGATGAAAGTAATGCTGGGAGTATTAGCCCTCCCATAACCCAGGCAAATTAACTAGCATCTTTGCCTTTCTTTTTCCTTTTTAATAGGGAGTGTGTGTGTGTGGCCATATGTTTGTGTGTGTGTGTTAAAAATAGATGACTAAAATGCTTAGCTCCTTAGTAAGCAGTAGAATTCAGTTCAATGTGCCCTGCAGTGTTGTAACATTAGCATGTCTAATGAGATGGGCATAATATGAACTCTAATGGCACACTATAAAATAGATCTGAAGGCAGGTACATAAACATCCATGCTTATGGTAGCATTTTTGTTTTCTTTTATGCTCATCATACTAACTTTAATGTTGTGAAGAAATCTGTGAATACATGAACTGGACTTAAACAGATGTGCACATTAAGTGCTCCGATTGACAGTGAGAAGGTCATGGAACAAATTGGAACTGAGTCCATGTTACACCCCAATACGCACATAGTATGGATGCTGAGTTCTCAGGAACAACTGTTTCACTCTAAAAATCTAATCCTACTTTTTCCTTTCTATTTGCCAATAGTATATGAGCTTAACTTGGAAGCTCTGCCCAGATTCCCCAAAAATACACTCCAGCAATAGTCCACAAAAAGGCCCTAGCCAACAGCAGTCCTCAAAGAGTGTCAAACTACATGCCTGGTGAAAGCAAAGACCAAACTATATCTAGTCTGATGGTAAAATCTCAAACTGTGTATTATTTATGTGTGGAGGGCATACTCAAGAGACAATGTCATTCATACCCATTAAATGTCATTTGCAAATAATATTTACCCAACTAGAAAGCACTGAATCATTGTTCTGAATAAAACACCAGCAGTCTGGGTAGGAAATTGGACTGCCTAAGAGATTGCCAAAAACCTCTAGTCTCACTAATTTTCAGCTACACTAATAACATTTGGCTAATAACTTCTGGCTCCATTCTTATTTACCAAATTTAACATGTTTACTCTCTCTTTCTGACACTTGTAGTGCCACCTGGTACCTACCTTCTCCAGCTTTCTATACACCATCACTGGTGATTACAAATAGATGATACCCATTATATAAGTTCATCTCTTGGTCTCAGTGTAACAAGTACTAAGAGAAAGGAAACTTCTAGGAAGTCAGAGCTCAGATCTAACACTGACAGCATAAGCACTTCTCATCATTGCAGGATGACAGGAGATGATCACAACACTGCTGGGTCACATTACATCACTTTCATCTATAATCTGATCAAAGAGAGGCTTGGTCTTACCCCAGCACCTGAAATAGCAACAATGTTCTGGACACATCTGCATAGCACATTTTAGCATTTACAATATGTGATTCCAGATTTGTACAAAAAGTAGCAGAGCAACTGGAGAGCAGTCCTCAAAATCTAAGACAACTGCCAGCAAATTCCAGAGGTTACTATAATGAGGAACAAAAATCCTCGGGAACAATTATTTCTGCTGTAGTAATTAACACCCTGAGACATGCAGCTCTCTTCTGTCCCTGAATATTTGCACAGACAAACTAGCAATCCTACCAGCAGTAAGTAACTACCACACTTCCATAGGCCAGGACCTTGCCAAATTCAAGCTGTTAATACTTGTCCTTAATGAAGTAGTTTGGATAGACAAGGATTTTCTAAACTAATGTAAAGGTGTGAAAGCTTGTAAATGGCCTCTTAAAAGACTATCTATGACTTTATCTTTTTTAGTTATTAAAAAAAAAATCATAAATAGCTAAAATAGTTGAAAAGGGAAAAAAAAAAAACAAACTTGGATTGCTATAACTGCTGCTTCTGCCTTTCCTCTTTTCATAGCTTTATAGTCTTGCAACCCTCCATTCTGGCTTTTTCTAACTTGGGCCTTGAACTTGCAACAAGCTCCCCTCAGAGTCCTGTGGAAGACTGTGTGGTTGTACACCCATGAAACAGGTTGTGCAACAGGACCTTGTGGTGAGACAGTGACTTGTTTTGTGTGTGCACCATGCCCAGCGCAACCAGGTCCTAACACCACATGGCTCCTTGGCACGGGAGCTGTACAGAGAATAGACTAAACAGAACTCCACGAGGTGAGGGTGAAGCGATGCTGTTTATGGGCAGTGGCAGCAACCACAGAGGTAACACCAACGACGGGAAGGAGGAGAACTGGGATTACCTGCTGTGCCTGCTGCAGCAGCTCCATTCGCTCGTGCAAGATCTGGCTGTCAAACTCACGGCTCTGCCTCAGGATCTGCCGCCGCACCTTCTCCACTGCAGCTCGCAAGTCCTCCCTCTGCGCTTCTGTCAGCGACTCGCTCGCCCGCCTTCCTGGATCCTGCTGCAGGGCATTATACAGCGTGGCTTCCAGCTCCTGGATTTTCTAATGCAACCCAAATCACACACAGACAGGCTGACATTTGAATCCAGCAAGCAAACGACCCACCAACAGCTAGAGGAGAAGACCAGCAAGCAAAGCCTTAGGCAGGAGGGAAGGACAGACACAGACAGGTGGACGGAAAGCGGCAGTCGTGAGTAGTGAGGAGCATTCCACACAGAGTGCACGCAGCCTCCTGGCACTGATTTACACCCAAGCGATGGTTCCCATTCTAGTAAATGATAGATTCTTCTGTTTAAGAAAGATTGAGATGATAGGTCTGCACTCAACCCCTGATAAAACTCCAAATCCTGATGCTGAACATAACAAATTTAATGCGAACTAACAGATTTCCTTCAACTGCAACTGAATTGTTAAGCCATCCTATAAAATAAAAAGACCACAGGAAAAACTGTGAACAGAAATCTTTCTCTCTCTCTCTGGTCCTACTACCCTGACATTCATGGCTTCAAGTCCATGTCAGTGGCTTAGTTCTAAGTTTCCATAAGCAATGGAGAGAGGAACACACCTATACTTGTATACATTAATCCCTCATCCATCTCTTGCTGTTTGCCAGATTCCTAATGTGATTCTCATGCACTGACCAAAACTGCAGTACTTTGCAAAGCAGAAAACACAGGAGAACTTCACATTGGCATGGAGAACTGTATTCCCAAGAGAAAAGAAAGGAATCATGGCAGTGTTTGCCTTATTACTGGGGTTAGCATGATCCTATTAAAAACCAGCATCCAGACTGACAATATTTGGATCAAGAGCATCTGATCACATCCCTTTAGCCCTCATAACACCTTTGTGAGGTAGGTAATTCCATCCATATTAGTGATGCATAAACAGATGCGCAGAGAGGTTAAATGGCTTGCCCAAGGTCACAGTGCTAGAAATAGAGCCTGCTTGCTTTTATCTCTGTTATCTGCTCTGAGCACTAGACCTTGCTTCTTCTCTGAAAATATCTTCCCCATAAGAAACATTTACAATGTATAAATAATTGTTCAGAACATTGTTGATTTTCTGACGTCTCACTATTAACAAAGTTGGGTGTGCAGTTTTATCAATTCCTTGATAATTCCTAATTGTTACTCAGCCTGAAAAAGGCAAGGTTGTAGCTTCCCTTTTGAAAACTAGGAAGAGTAAGGTTGGATTAGGACCACGCAGAAAGGAATCCCATAGGAAGAACAGGCATTCCTGATTTAAGATAGGTTAGCAGCAGTAATACTTACAAATGCTTCAGGAAAAGAAATATTAGAAAAGTTCTAAACTTCTGATGTATTCTACTAGTCACAGTTTTTTGCACACATAAACGAGCTCTTCTCATTCCAGAAGTACTAACAAGGTGTTTGTATATCATAGAATAAAAAAACATTACACTTGTAGGTACTATAAGCCATTTCCTAAGTTTTCATTTAAGTAATAGTTGATTTCTAGTCCAGCAGAAAAAGCGATAAAAAGTAAAAAATAACCCTATTTATAATTAAAAGAAACAAAACCCCCTGCATTTTATGCAATCTGTTCAAATAGAAAAATTTAATGACTGTTCTTTTCCTACCATGTAAGCCTGGTCCAGAGCTTGCTTCCTGTAGTCGAGTTCTTCCTCTAAATAACCCTTCTGTTTACTGAACAGGTCCTGAGCAATAATAAAAACAAGGGAGTGTTTGTTCTTTATCCTAATTCATGAAGAACCATAAATGCCATCATTTTTACACAGGCTTTCCATTTGAAAGCAAACGAACACCTACAGCAAATGACCACATTCATCCTAAGGATAATTGGAACATGAAATTTACAGTATTAGCACTTCAAATATGTATATTATATTAACAAGTTGTACCTAGAAAGCATTGACCTCTACGCCAGTGTACAAACCTGTCTGGACCTGACGGAAGTGCACAGAGCAGCAAGAGGTGAAAGGGGATGTGCATGCATGTGGTCAATAGCCATAACTTGCACAGGGCAGGACAAGGGAGAGAAAAGAGAAACACAAGTGAGGGTATTTTATGGCTTTTCTGAAAATGTCCCATGTGTATCCTTAAGGAAATCATGGGGCAAACCCTAATTTCTGTTGTCTAGCCCGTTCTTCTAGGGAGGAAACATGAACAGGCAGGTCTGCAGCTGGGTTCTGCAGCACCCGTGCTGCTGACGCAGAAGTAACAATTCAATCTTCAAGCCCATTTGAAATGGGTAAAGTGATGCCCAGAGAGGTTGAGCGACTAGATGAAGAGCTGAGAAATTTTCAAGATGCCTAGGATTGAGAGAAGTTTTTTACTTTTGTTTTTAAAAATAAGGCTACTCTCACAGTTATTTCATATATATATAAATATTAATACCAAAGACTGGGATTTCAGTGGAACTCGGTATCCAAAAGCATGATGTTGCAAGCAAGTTGTGGGCATTCAAATGGTTGTCTGAATAGTCAAGCCTTTAGAGTGTTTTGGATCATGGAATCATAGGATTGTGTGGATTGGAAGGGACTTGAAAGACTATCTCATTCCAACCCTCGCACCATGGGCAAGGACACCTTCCCCTAGATCAGGTTGGGTGATAGTAAGCAGAACATAAAATAGTTATTTGATTTTATTAGCTTTTTATTCAAGACATGTTTTCACGCTCAAAAAAATTAGTAGTATACCAGAAAGCAGAGAAGCCCTTTGATTGAATTTAATATTTTCCATCATTCTTTTTTCTATTCAACAAATTTTTTAATTTTCTCAACATATAGAATAATTGCCAAATTAAATGCACAGGGTTCTTAAGATGATTTACTGCAGCCTTTACTAAAAGTATCAAAAAAATCAAATATTGCTGGTCCAGTTAGTTTATTGGATATGTGATTGCCCCAAAGTCACTTATTTGGCCAAACTTTGCCTTCAAACATATATGTGGACTTCTGACAACTTTGCTGTCAGCTGCCAGTGTAGCACTGACACAGAGTTTGCCTAAGCATGAACCATGATGATGAATTCTCAATCCAAACATCTACTTTAAAACAAATTCATGCTAATCAACAAATTAATGCTTTGGAGGGGCTCAGAGCACAAAGTGACTACAGATGACCTCCCACATGTTAAAAGCAATCCAGAACTGGTGACAGTAGAAACATATAAGACCAATATTAAAGGACTCAGAGGAATAAGGTGCTATTTGTTCTCTGTATAAGAAGCATAATGTTTATTATTAATTTATTTTGTAAACTTCTTCTTTTAATTACCCATTAATAAATACTGAAGGCAAAGCCAAAGTGTAAGTCAGGCCTTGATCTTGGGGCTGGAACTTGATTACCCACAGATGGGCATCTATAGCTATGATACCCATTTTAGAATATGTTACTTCAGCTACTGGTCCAGAAGGGCAGGGCTCTCCAATAAGTCCCATAGGACGTATTTGTCAGGCCCTTGTGGACATCTCCAGAACTCTGAAGAATGTAATATGGCATTAGACGCCATGCTTATGCAACTGAATCCCACCTTAACTACCCAAGGGGTATCATTTTCTGATGGGGATGGATTACAGCAAAAACTGGTGGCTGTTGTACAAGATGCAACCACCATGAACTGCATAGTGCTTACAGGTGTCTGACACCACAGAACTAGACTAACTTGTCAGAGACTACAGAGGGGTTCAGATCAGCTCAGCTGAGTTTACCACCAGATCCCAGAAAAGCAACACAGCTGCCCTGATCATGTTACTTCTCAAAAAGGTGCAGTAAAAGCTGCCCACAAAAAGCAAGAGGGAAGGAAACATGAATAGGACCCCAAGCCCTTAGATGGGTTCCAAGGACAATTAAACCAGCGCTTAGTTCTTCCAAAAGCATCATGCTAGAATGTTATTTCATTTCATGATTGAGTCAATCATTAGTGATGCAGATTCTTAGATTGCTGTGCTAAACAAATAGATGCAAGGGCTACTAGAAGTAAGAGTTGAAAACATCACAGATAGTAAGTGAGAAGATAATAATTCTAGTTATAAAGAAATTATGTTTTTCCAATTCTTTTTACAAAAGAATTTAGTATTTGGGGGCACTTTGCCTTCTGAAAACTTCTGCATTTTTCCATAAGAAGAGTTAAAATAAAGAAATACTAAATTTGGGAAGGATAATATCTATGATACATTACAATCAGTATGAAAGGCTACACTCAACAGAGAACAGTCTGAGCACCTCTTTTGTTTGTGGCTCAAACACACACTTCTTCAGTGGCCATGGGCAAATCACTTAACCTCGCTGTCTCATTGTCCCATTCTTTAGGATGAATGCAATGCTAATTATTTATCTACCTGTAAAAGGTGTGGTGAGGATTAATCAGCGTTTGGAAAACCATTTGAAGATGTGAAGCACAGCATGCATGGCAAACCAATAAAAATGAACACATTCTAAAATTCTTTGTTCAACATATGGAAAAATAGGGTCAGTTTGTTCTGCAAGACAGAATTGTTTTTGAGAAAACATTCTGTCTTTAGGCGTGAAGACCATGGGACAAGAATGGTCATCTGGAGTAAGAGGTCTTGACAACTTGTCCAGAAGCTGAGTACCAGAGAGCAAAGAAATACCCTTACAAATTCTAGTAACATGACCTCAAGATTCAAAAGACAATACTGTTGCCAGACAAAATAATACACAGGGAACGCACAGACAATTTCATTCTGTTTGGTCAATACACTCTGTAGTTATGCATTTGTGCCCTAATTTGTATATAATATGCTATTTTTGTTCTATACAGATTTGACATTTTCCTTTCATCCCAAAGAATATAAGCAATAGATTGTTCTAGAAACCTTTGCCTATTTTACCATGAAGCAATCTCTGTTAAGCAGAGAAAGGCAGCAAATCAACTTGGGATGAAGTTTATACACATTCCCTCGAGATGAGTTTTAGCTTTGAATTATACTTTTAGCTACTGTTCCTTACCTTTTCATTCTCCAGGTCTAACATCTTCTGTGTCAGTGCAGCTTCTGTCCCCTCTATCTGTTTCAACCACTACAGGAACATAGCAGTGTGAAGAGGAAAAAAACAGGACATGAAAAAAAAAAAAATAGAGCTTTTGAAAAAATTAGTATCAAACATTTTGCAAGTTGGTTGCCAACACTTCCAGGCACATGCTATCTGTCCACTTTGAAGTTCCACATAAATAAACAGGTGGTGAGAATGTGGGCAAAATGGAAGACTGCATAGACATACTAAGGACTAACAAGTGAAGTTTGCTTTCCCACAGTAAATAAACTTTTTCCCCCTGTAAAGTTCAAGATACAAAATAGACTTAGGTCAAGAATGCAAAATCAACCTGACTGTTTCTTACATGATACACCAACAAGCACAGTGCTTGTTGGCCTGATTTGCAAAACCATCACCTAACTTCAGGCATCCACACCTTCATTTTTCCAGAGGGTAATTTAAAATATAGACAAGGTGGAAAACCCAATCCTTGATTTTGCACAGTTTGCAGCACTCTTTGTGGGAAGAGGCTCACTTCTGAAACATCAATAATATAGAGAAAAGAAACAAAACAGACAGACAGACAGATAGATGGAAGTTCTTGTCTTTGCTACAATGAATGCTCCGTTCTGGTGACCAAAAAAAACAATCAGAATGAAGAAGAATGGCATTCTTTGCTTTCCAAAGAAAAAAATCACTTCCTGTAATAGCTAAATGCATGGATACAAGTTTCATGCTTAATTACTAACCATCATTGGGATTATATTAATATTTTACATTTAAGTTTATTGAAATGGATGAGAAAGCTCACTTCTGAATTAATTGTTTTATTTCATTTCTCTACAGGTCTACAATAAGGATCAATTACTAGCTTACAGAGATCACAGTTTAGATAATGCTTCTTTTTGTAGCACCAGCTACTATTAAAACCAGCTGTAACTTTGCCGCTGATAATTATCACTGTCCTCAAATGCCTTGCTTACTAACATTGGACTACCCATATTTGCTTTAATTCTTTTGGTGAGCATGGCACATCAGCTTTTTTTAATTTATAGTTTTAATGAATTCATGAGGGCTCAGACTCAAAGGAACTAATGACACACCAGGATTTTTTCTCCAAAGATTTAGATATGAAATTTCAAACATAAGTTTACAAATACACAAAATATAAATTCAATATTTCATAATTTTGGACCTTCCACTATTTAAGAGACCAGTGAATAAAAACGGAAACTTGTTTTACCTACTTAACTTTCTAAAGAAAAAAAAAAATGAACAGCAACCCTATATTCTCCAGGGATTCTATTTTCATAATCTTTGTTTTCTTAATTTTGAAGGTGACAAGCTGAAGATATTCCTAAGGGAAGCCTCACCACTGATATTCAGCAAGACTGTGAGCATTCTAAACCTCAGAACTGATAGAAATGGGCATCTCTCACAGCTACCCTCAATCATGTAAAGGGCTATTTGCAAAAATTAGAGGTCTAATTTTTTTGAAGATATGAATGATATGCAAAACTAAATGTTGATTCTGATCTTCCTATGCCTGTAAGCCTTTCTGGAACCAAGAGGGACAGAAGAGACAACCATGTATTTAGGAGCCTCTATCTTAGCCTTTTGTACTGAGGTTCACCTTCACTTTTAATGCTACAACACAATGTAAAACATATGGATTTTAGCACTTTTCCTCATATTTGGTTTGCTTATAGCAATCACTCACTCAAACTAATGATTTTTAAATTACCTAATGTAGATTACCTACTTCAAGGTATTTAGATAAGCAGATTATCAAAATTATACCAAATAAAGTAATTACTGCAAAATGCTCAAATTTTAATTTCAAAGTTCTGATTCTGAATTTCAAGAATGCATCTAGGAAAGATTTAACAGAAACATATGAAAAGGACAGAATTTTTTTTAGAGAAATATGCAAGTCTTGCTTAGTTCTAAGTATCACTGCTATTCATATACAGATTATATTCTCTCTGTAACTGGGAAGAACTGGTCAGGCAGAAAAGAGTGACCTGACTGAATATTTACCTTGTACAAACTACTTTTTCTCTATGCCCACTATTTTACAGAGAAAAGGACCACTGATTGCTTTGAGTTTTTTCAGTCACCCACAGAAATGAGCCTGAAATGGACCATGGGCACCTTACCAAGGATGTCACAGCACCACGTTCCCAGAGCACTGAGGACATCGGCACTTCTGAGAATGAAACCTCTTGTGTTAAGTGGCTTTTTAGTACTTTATGCTAGAGGAATATCTCTAAAACATGTCTTTATTTTTAAACTGGGGTTATTTTGTAAGTTTGATTTTACCTTAAGACATCACAATCCCAACATTCATGTAAGGATGAATACATGCTCAAATCCAGATGACCCAAACAGAAAAATCATGCTTCTCCAGCAAAGTGATGTGATATCAGAAGGCATGGTCACTTTTCAGCAAAGAAAAACATTTTTCTGAATTCTACCTTTTCACAGAGGGAAAGCACAGTTCCGGCTTGGATTATTGCAACCTGCTCTTCATTTCTCAAATTCTAAAATACAAAAAGATGCATTTTAAAGTGGGTCAAAAATTCATCCTTTAACACAAGAAATAACTGTACTTCAAAAAATAAATAACTTATAACATTTAGAATCATAGACATGACCAAAAAGCATCCCATGATTGAAAGTCTTAAAACTTAAACCAGGAGTGCTTAGTTTCCACTCAATTTCAGTCCATCACCTCCCCAACACCTTAGCAACAGTTTATTATTTGATGAAAATTAATTGGTTTCTGTCAGGGATTTTGAATTTTTTTTCCCCTAGGCCTGTTAATTGGACTATGGCCCAACAGCAATGAATCTCCCCTTCATGCACTTTCAGAAGTAGACTTCCCATTAATGAAAACAATGCAAAGATCAAGTACCATAGGAACCTCCACAAAACTTTCAACATAATATGCAAATCTAGAACTTAAAACCAACATTATAAAGACCTCAGACTGTTAAACCCAGCTATAAACTGGACCCGTCTCCCTGGATGTTCATGCCACAACTGCATGACCAAGATGTTATTCTGTATTTGGCACTATAGAAGAAGAAAGGGAGACAGTTATCCTTGCCTCTCTCCCAGAAAATCCACTCCTGGCAGAAAAAAGCCTTCACAGTACTAGGTGTTACTATTACTACTCAAAAGATAAAACTCACAAACAACTTGGTCTGGCTTTCATTTCTGTTTTAAATCTAGTTTTATTTCCTTTTATATCTGGTCTGGGTTTTATTTTTTCCCTCTGCTTACCTCAGTGCCTTTTTCTACATCATTTAGTCAAGACCAAATCCTAGCTTAAAAAAATACACTTTTCACTGGTATCAGTTTAACTAAAAGATTTCAAGTTTTTAAAACTAGTACCTAACCATTCATATTCTTCATACAAATACATATAGGCATATAAAAATCACCCTCTGCATTTTCTTGGATGTTATTATCTGTTGTGGGAAAAAATGCATTAAATTAACCATACAACTGAAGGCATATTTAAAATTAAAAATTTTTTACCCCATTATCTCCAAGAATATCTAGTTTCTTCATAAGTTCAGATATATTCACATCCTGAAAAAAGATGTTCAACATTTAATTTTTTTGAAGTAGGTGAGAAATAGTTTTTATATGCTACATTTTATGTACCCTTTATTCACTTCTGTTTGCAAAAAGACTAGAAATGTAAATAAGTGAAACATTAGTTTTGCATCACAATTACAAAAGTGTTATTGATGCTTTCAAAGACAAAACAAAATGTCACTTTTGATTACAGCAAGCAACCTGGGTATCTGTGCATGAGGGCAGAATGTTCCTGCATCATTCACATTTATCATCCTGCTAGTGTATGTAGAGGAAAGACCAAAAAAAACAGGCTTAAAAGAGTGTTGAAATACAAAAGGCTTAAAAATAATTTTTTTTGTTTATTTGGAGTGGAGCATCAACCACATCAACCTACAGAAATTAAAAGGACAAAGAGAATGAACAAAACAATTGCTAAGAAGGTTCCCTGGGTGATTTGCTGTTTGCTTTTTATTTTGTTTTTGTTAAACAAAAGTATGGGGTTTCAAATCAACCTTACAATGCCAGAAGGGAATGTGCACAGAGGGCTGTACATGCTCCTCCAAACACCATCAGCTCATAACCTTTGTGGGTAGAAAGCTATGTTTCTCTGCCAGTCAGCTCTCAGATCCACAAAAAGAGCTGAACAATCCATCCTTACTAAGACCCAGCCACTGAAATAAAGAAAAACACTGCTCTGATTTAAAAAAAAAAAAAAAAAAAAAAAAAAA